ATAGGTACAGTCATTTTACACCTTGTTATCCCTTTGGGAATGACAGTTGTACAATGCTTATTCAAACTTATACACATTGAGAGATTGCTGCCAGATCGAGCTTCATTAGGCTTGACATACGTCATATAGTCACCTATCAGGGGGTTGGCCCCTTTTCAACCACCAATGACTAGCTCTTTGCCACCAGTGCCTTTCGGATGAGTTTACCGTTTTGAGGTATGCAAGAGGTAAGGGTTCAGACTCAAGGATGTGATCATCCTTGAGTCTATATTGCATCAAATTGAATATCCGATAGAACTTTGGTTGGGTTATGGCAATCAAAGAACATTCAGCACTCTTTTCCAAAAGATACAAAACATAGGATCAATCCTTGAAAGAATTTTACTACATTTTTAAAGGACTTAGATATTGTGATTCTTCAGTCTGTGGTACATATCAGCAGAGAGTATTGTAATAGCACATATCACCACACTAGATCAGTTACTTTTATAATTGATCATAAAAGGCAATATACTATGCTTAACAAAAGGAGACAGGTGCATTTATTCGAGTTCATATAACAATTAGAATGTGAGTCCAACACGGGGGATATTAGAACTAAGTTCATTATGAAAGGTGTTCATTGGGCATAGATGATTAAATATTCACAATATTTCTGCCTACACCGTCATCTTCATAGTGGTCGAGGCAATTGAGTGCTTGAGTGGCAAAAAAGGGTTTTAAACATATGGTGTATTGGGGTGGTGAAGATGGGCAGCCAATCAGAAATGTCATTAATGAAAGTTCTCATTGATGCAGAGAGCCAGTAATTTCATTAAAGGAGTTTTTTCATGAGTGGCCACCTTCAGACTCTTTGAGTACATTTGGCTCTGGAAATGCAGACTTGTAAGGTGATTTCCTATCTGTTTTAATCATGTCACACTCAATTGTGCTACAAAAAGACCATCAAATACCCCCAAATGCCCTGGACATAGACAGAGTGTGATAAATTTTTGATATAGTAGTTTTTTGAACTCCTGAAGAATGAAGACAGTTGCGTGGTTATTTTTGACATACTGGCTATATGGTGTAGATAGGTGAAAATATGGGTGAGGTGACCAAAAAAAAAAAAAAGTTGAAATTTTGAGTTTATTTCATAGGTTTAAGTGTAATTAAAAAGGCATTTTTTTTTGGTTTATCTCAACAAACAAAAAAAGTGGG